AATTTAGAAACCAATGGGCCTCTAATAAACCAATAGGGGCGTGACTAACCATCCCCACCCAGTCCTCAAACAGGCCACGCTCAGCTTTTTAGCGCAGAGCAACTTCCCGGAGTCTTCACGGAGACTTCAGGGTTGTCTACCGCTGACGAAGCTTCTGTGAGAGAAGCGAAACGTCCTTTTTTGCTTTTTTTGTTTTTTTGTTTTTTTTGTTTTTTACCCACAGGTACAGATGACGACTGACAGAACCCTTTCTACGATGGAACTTTCCTGTACGACTGAGAGCCTCCACAAGCTTCTTCTTTGATTGAAAATGACATCCAAAAGCCTTGCGGTGTGGCATTTTGACTCCTTTTTTCCGATGATGACAGTAGCTCGCATGTGTTTTGCTTTGCTTGGCAGAGAGCAGCAACCATTCTATGGCATAACTCAGAATGCATTGCGACACTGGCGATAAGAAGATAAAATAAGAAAACCTTTATGCATTTGTGCATGTCAGTGATAGAAAGACATCACGCTTCTTTTAGCCACTAGTACATATGAAATGCTAAATATAGTTAGGAAATATTGTCAAACCCGATATATCTCTGGAAAAAAATTAAGAGACTGCTGCAAAAATCTTTGATTTTGCTCCTATATATATATTTGTGTTCTTTTTAGCCTCTTCATTTTTGCCAGAGCTATATATCAAGTTCGTTTCACACTGCACTTATAGCACAGCAAAGAGCAGCCATTGACCAACCCATTCATTGTGTGCGGGCTACCGTGGCGCAAAGGCTCAGCACCTGCCGTGGAGGCGAGCGGTGTAAGGGTTGGTAAATGTCCAATTCAGGCGGTGACACCCGGTAGGATCTTATCTGGAACCCAAGTTTGTTTTTTCTTAATTGCAAAAGGTCATGTGACAGAACATGATCGGTCATTCCATCTGATTACAATTTTAACTCACTGCAAAACTAGTTGGCGACAAAGTGCATGCGGAACCATGCAATCGACTCGACGGTTGTGTCACCTTCCCCGGTGTGCGGCAGGCCTAAAATGAACAATTGAGTGAAGATGCAAGTCTGTGTTTTACTGAGCAGCGCATGGTTCTCCTCGCTCATTCCGCTCCTTGTCTCGCGCAGCTGGTGATTCCACTTAGCGTTCAGGACGACCTGGACAAGGCCGTGGAGCTGCTAGATCGAAGCGTTCACATGAAGAGTCTCAAGATCCTCTTGGTGCTGCAGATCTCCTCGCAGGTCACTTGGGTCAAGTCTATCGCCAACCTTTCCGCCAAGGCGCTCTTATTTTTCAGTTAATTTTTTTTTCTCCCTGCTTTCTTTTTCCAGAACTCCTCTTGCAATATGGGCCTTCTGCCTTCCTGCGAGGAGTTGGACAACACAGGACTGAGTGTCACAGACAAGAAGAGCATGCTGGCATCGTCAGGTGAAGGACTGAAAATGGCTGTGTTTGGAATCATTTATTGGTTCGCTACTCCCGGATGAAAAAAAAAAGCTATTATCAATTGGAATTGTGAGATGGAAACAGATTCTAACCCTTTATCAATAGTGTTATAAAGTTTTAGCTTTGATAAATCCTTGATTTTTAGCATGCTAATTTGATTTTGAGTAACTGTTGTGTCCTCCGGACTCAGGGTCTCATTCGACGGACCGTAGCTCTCCTCCACCCGGATACATTCCTGACGCACTCCAGCAAGTGGCCAGGAATGGCTCCTTCACGAGCATTAACAGTGAAGGAGAGTTCATTCCAGAGAGCATGGACCAGGTGCGCCTCCTGTCTGCAAAACTGGCACTTCTCTACATACAGCAAGTATGAGTGGTGCTTTTTTTTTTCTCCTCAGATGCTCGACCCCCTGAGCATGAGCAGTCCCGAGAACTCTGCATCTGGAAGTTGTCCTTCTTTAGACAGCCCGTTGGACAGGTAGAGACATTCTGGTTTCATCAGGCTACGGCGAGTGGCAATGGTACCAACTTGAAAGTGACGCTTATCTGTTAAACAGTGAATATCCAAAGTCAAGGATGCCAAGAGCACAGAGTTACCCTGACAACCATCAGGACTTTCCAGGTGTGTGTGTGTGTGTGTGTGTGTGTGTGTGTGTGTGCGTGTGTGTGTGCGTGCATTATAGGACAGTAAAGTAAATGTAAATAAAGCATTCAGTAATATGAAACACAGTTTATACAATGTTTCATGAAAAATTCTCTAAAACACATGAGATGTTTTTTTTGTTTAGCAGTTGTAAGTAATCAAAGTATCCGCACCCTCAGATATTCAATGATCGATCAAGTCAAAATTCGGCAGGCCTTGGCTCCTAAACCCATGCTCCAATTGACCTAACGTTTGAGATTTAGTGTTGTGCCATCACTATCAACAAGTACAGCAAGTTTCATCAAACACAAAATCTGCTTGGTTCAACCCACTGGCTGATTTGGCATGGACTATCCCCATAATGCATTCACCCAACCTTGTGATGTCCCTTCTGTCATGAACAGTGCTCCTCATGGTGTCCCTTTCTCTCCAGAGTACGACATCCCAGTCTTTGACAAGTCAGGAAAAGGTGGCACATACCCTCGGCGCTACGGCGTTCCCTTTGGCCTGCAAGATTACAGCGATGGTTGGTGTTCCTGTTTGGTTTCCTCTGCAACACTGGCTGGGCAAAGCACGACATGCGCACATTCCCCTTCTCGTTTGCGCACCAGGGAGGAAGACCTTCCCTCGGGCTCGGCGAACACAGGCACACGGTTTGCGCTCACCTGTTAGCTTCAGTCCCACCGAGCAATCTCCCAGCACCAGCAGCGGCAGCAGCGTATTCACTCCCGACCTGGAAGATGGCGCTGGGCCTGCCAGGCGGCCGCGAAGGGGAAGTGACATTGAGGCCAACCAGTCGAGCACGCCAAGCCTGTCAGTCATGGACATCAGCCCACCCAGCCGCTGTGAGTTGTTGCTGTCACATCACAAACGTTCAGCTTCCTATTTGCCAGCTTGATCACACGCAGGGGTGGGTAAAGTAGCCAAATATTGTACTCGAGTAAGAGTACTGTTACTTGACCATAATATCATTCTCGAAAAAGTAAAAAGTAGTCCTTGTGTCCGTTCCTCCCTAGAACCAATTATCTGCTCAGAACAAATAGGGTTTGTTCATGTACTATGTGAGCATCTAGGTTTTTTTTTTTTTTTGCAATTTCTTTTTGAGACCTTTCTCCTCATGGGGGGTGTCAATGACAGTATTCTGCACAACCGACAAGTCAGCAGTCTTCCCCATGATTCTGAACCCTAGTAAGCCTGACTGAGACCATTTAAAGGGTGAGGAAAACCTCGGAGCGTGTTTTGTGTTAATTAGCTGACAAGATCGGGACACAGCAAGCCGACAATGTTGAACTTTGTCGTCATATTCTAATTTTGTGAACTACAGCTATCGGCCTAGATATCAACCTCATTTTGCAGTATCCGTCTGATAAAAGTGAAGTCATTTTTTCCCCAATATTGGTCCGTTAAATATCATGCATACCTATTAATTGTGACGACTATCAGCGACTAGTCACCGACCAAAATCATTGTTTGTGGCAGCCTTACAAAACACTCACCTACTCTGTCCTTAACAGAAATACTCCAGCAAAATGAAAAGCATGTTGGTTGAAAGCAACTCTGAGAAGTACAGTTTGTCAAAAAGTGTACTTCAGTGAGTGTGAGTGAGTAATTGTAGTGCGTTACTACCCACCTTGTGTTAAGCTCCACGTGCGCCCACCAACTGGCGACTGGGGAAGCTCCTTGGGCAAGGCGCCTTTGGACGGGTTTTCCTTTGCTACGACGCGGACACCGGACGGGAACTGGCTGTCAAACAGGTCCAGTTTGATCCAGAGAGTCCAGAGACGAGCAAGGTCCGAATTGTTGCTCCATCGTTTTCGTCTTTTATCTGTAGCAGGAATGCTTTTAATGTTCTTTTCTCTTGAGTGTAGGAGGTGAGTGCGTTGGAATGCGAAATCCAGCTGTTGAAAAACCTCTGCCACGAACGTATAGTCCAGTACTACGGTTGTCTGCGCGACTCCATGGAGCGAACTCTCTCTATCTTTATGGAGTACATGCCTGGAGTGAGTGCTCAGTTTCAATCAGTGTGCTATCGGTTGTGAATGCTTTCCTAATGCTGATGTCCCGTGTCGGCAGGGTTCCATAAAGGACCAAGTAAAGTCCTACGGTGCATTGACGGAAAACGTGACGCGCCGCTACACCAGGCAGATCCTTGAGGGCGTTTCCTACTTGCACAGCAACATGATTGTTCACAGGGATATTAAAGGTATGTCTAAATGGATCGACAGATCGATAGATATTCTCAAAATATTACGACACTTGCATGTTGGTGAGAAAATGCCGGAAAAGTGACTTTTGAAACATTGTAGGATCACTCATTAAAAAATGTCAACCAGAAACACATACGTTTTTGTTCGATGGATACACTTGTATTAATAATGTAGAAACAGTCAACGAAGTGAAAATTCATGCAAAGAGCAACATTGAATAGGGGCTTCCAAATAAATATATAAAATAGGCTTCAAAATAAATGAATAAAATATATATTTAAAAAAACAATCACAACAACATAGGTTTTTAAGATGTTGTGGTGTTGGATAATATGCAGGTAGATTTAGGGAAAAAAAGGGAATTTGACCACATTTTCTGTTTGACAGTAACGATGTGTAATACGTGCATGTAATCAGTATTTGGAGAGTCAGGTTAAAAATGAATTCCGATACAGTTAGTAGTTACCCTTTAAAACAGGGGTGACACATTTTTGTTGCGAGTTACGTCTTCCATCGGAGGGCTGTTACGACGACTGAAACCACAAAAATGCTTAATCCTCATCGCATTATTACAGAACAAATTCATGGTTTACTGACTTTGAAATCAGTCAACTATGATAGTTTGTTCTGTTATTGTTTGAGTGTAAACAGGGTAACAAAATTATTGCAAAATCTCAACCTTATTCATGACACATGACAATTTAACATTTCGGTACAGATTTTAGCAAGGATGATGCAAGTTGACACACATGATTTGTTTTCACCGGCTGCATAAAATGACGTGATGTGCTGGATCTGGCCCCCGGGCCTTGGGTTTTACACTGTGCTTTAAAAAATTCAGACCGTAATGTAATCAAAGTATTAATGATTAATGATTGATTACTTTTAATTCCTTTTGCATTTCTCCAATACCAAATATGTTTTTATATTGCACAGTTAAAAACTTACACTTTATACTTATACTTATTGTATGAAATTCTTTCTGTTTTTAATAAATGCGTTTTTTTATGTTTTGAATTTGTAAAAAAAAAAAAAAAAATCATATTTTTATTTTTCACTAATGAAGGGTTCAGTGAATGTGCAGATGAACTGGTTGGATTCGGTACCTCTAAACCACTGATCTAGTTTGTCATCAATTAGCCACTTAACTCCGGGAAAGTTTGTTTGGCCAACTACTGTTGTTTTAGAATGGACGAGGACTCAAATATGGCCTCTCTCTCTCTCCGTATTAAAAATGGAATGTACAAAATCCACATTTTGAATAAATCTACCCTATTAAGTGTTTTTTTTCCCGGTTACTGGACTAGATTAGAGTGATATTTCTGTATTCATTTGATTTCTTTTTTTTTTGTATCCTGAATACGTAATGCTGGTACACTGTACCGTTTTTGAACAGTGTCTAGAGGTAATTATCTCATACACAGCGTTATGTAAGGTTGGGTTTTTTTTTTTTTTTTTTTGCTTTTTATTGATTATTATGGAGAAGAGCGATGGAAGAAAGTTTAAAAGTTGTTGTCTTCAGGTGCCAACATCCTCCGAGATTCGGTCGGAAACGTAAAGCTGGGTGACTTTGGGGCCAGTCGGAGGCTGCAGACCATTTGTCTATCAGGAACGGGAATCAAGTCCGTGACCGGCACACCCTACTGGATGAGTCCAGAAGTCATCAGTGGTGAGGGCTACGGCAGGAAGGCTGACATCTGGTAGGACCACATGTGACGTCTTCCTGTGTTAATATCACAGGTCGGGGGCACAGGCTCCAGTCGGCAAGTTCAGGACATATGCGGCCAAAACTTTGCAAAGACTGCACTTGGACTTGGTATTCATGAGACACCTTCTGATTTTGAAGTTTACGCTATAAAGGTGTTCGTTTTAAGCAAAATCGGCAAATGCAAAATGAACGACGTGAAATCGGGACTTCGAAATGTCAACGTTATAGGGGTGAAAACGGAAACGGGGTGTGTTGAAAAGAGGTTCGACTGTACTGTCCAGTATATTTAAAATAGTGTTTGTGAAAATATATTTTATTGCTTTGGTTTTCACCAAAAGTGTTTTAATTTTGACACTAATTAACATTTTCATTGAACATAAAGTACCGATCATATGGTATAAATTGAATCTCTTCACAGTAACGTTACCTCTTGATAATTTACTCAGCCCTACCGTACAGTTCCTCTCGGATTGACTCGTGCTTATGACTGTTCCGTGTCTGTGTCATTCTCCTCTCAGGAGTGTTGGTTGCACTGTTGTTGAGATGCTGACCCAGCGACCTCCCTGGGCAGAGTTTGAGGCCATGGCGGCCATCTTTAAGATTGCCACTCAGCCCACCAATCCCGTCTTACCTGCCCACGTGTCGGACCACTGCAGAGAGTTCCTCAAACGTATCTTTGTCGAGACCAAGCAGCGTCCGTGCGCAGACGAATTGCTGAGGCACATCTTCGTACATTAACGTTCTGTCCTCCTGCTAATTGGACTGCGCTGGGCTTCCTTGCTGTAACCATATTGGACCAGGAAGAAGGTTGGGTGCTTCCGGACCTTTGTATAAAACTGCAGAAGACTCAAGTTTTCTGTTTTTGCACCTTAATTTCTCAAGTGGGGATAAGTCAAGTCCTCCTTTGTGAAGATATGAACTCCTGGGAAACATCTCCGTTATTTTATTTTATTGTATTTTTTGGGGGTAACGTTTTCTCTTCCAACTTATCCTCTTGTGCTGCGGGATGGTGTCTACGTTGCAAACCCGACCCCAGAATGTAGTCTCCTGCCTTTGATGACCAGGCCTTGCTGCTGCTAAAAAAACAAAAACACACACAACAAAAACATGCGGACAACTCAGCCGCCTTCATCTCGCCCTCTTTGTCACTCGGCATCTCACTTTGTGCCTTTTTCGTTTCTCAACATTGCCTGTATGAGTTTGTGAGTTGTCCTTCTCATGTTTGCTCCTGGATGAAATCACATCCTGCAGCTGAGCTTTTCTGCTGGCTTATTGCTCTTTGCCACATCTCATTGCTGCAAACGCATCCACATCAGGCGCTGTACTTTGAGGGGAAAAAAAACCCAAATTAAGACCTTGAATGAAACACTCGATTCGTCTGCAATTTTGAAACATGCCCTGTTCCCAGTGAGGCAGCAGTGAGCCATGCAAGCTCCGTGACCAGCATTCACACTCCTGATTGTGCCTCTTGACCTGGTTGAAGATGCCTTTTTATGTTTCTTGCCAGCAAACGGGCAGCACTGCAGAGCCATGTCTGCTTCAAAAGCTCTTCCAATTCACCATAGATGTTCATTGATCTTATCAGACGTGTCATCTGTGCCCTGCTCTTAATTTAATTGCGATTTGAAGCTTGATGCTGCTGCAATTGTGGCGCCAGTGGTGGTCCTAGCTTGAAGAGCGCCCTGTGCCAGGTCCTATTTTGGTTCTCACACATGGCAGAAACCACCTGTGACGGTCACCTCGGTGACTCTTCTTGGAGGCCAAGATTGCCCTTAACCAATCAGATTTCAGCTTTTCAACAGCGGCCACTAGGTGTTACTAAAAGACATTTCCCGCTATTCCTCTGAAAGCGCTTAACATGCACGCTATGCTACATGCTCTGTTACCTGGCACCATAAAACACACACACACACACACACACACACACACACACACACACACACACACACATATACATCCAATTCCCCATCATTGTTGTTTTGCATGTTTGTTTTGTTTCTTACACAAGTGTGCTGCATTTGCAATGATTAAGTGTCAGAAGGCCTCGTTCACCAGGGTTGATTAACGTTTCACTTCCAGTATTTGGTCCACAAGGTTGTGAGTGCCTGTGTTTTAACTACTGTCTTTGCTCAGTTGGGGCCTGCCAACTTGCCTGTAGCCAGCGTTCTCAGCATGAGGGGAGGACATTGACGATGGAAATCTTGTACAAATGTAAAAAGTGAAATGTACCTTTTTTTGTTTGTTTTTCCAAAGTCTGTTTGTGTATGTCTTGTAAAAGAAGCCATGTTTATAATTCTAATTGGTTTGTGACCAATACGCCTGTTTATATCAGATCTGTATATCGGTGGTATGTATAATTTTTTAATATATATATTTTTATTTCACATGGGAGTTTTATGCATGGTTGGTCCAGACCGATGCAGCAGTGCCGTTAAATGTTTTTGGCCAAATTCTGCAGTAATGCGACAGCTCGGTGTTCATCCGTATGACGGTGAAGAATAATAAAAGTTATTTATTTCACCTGTTGGTGCACTTTGTGGTGGTTGGTGTGTCCATATGCGCATGCTCAACAGTATCAATTGACATCTAGGAGTGGTTGAACCAATCCATCGACTGTCACTGCACATTAGCAATTATAGTTTTAAGTCCATCACGAATCAAGTTTGCCTCTCCTGTTTTTCAGATTCTTATGACATAGTTAGCCTTGGGGCGGCACAGTGGTTGTCTGGTTCGCACATCAGCCGCACATTGTCGAGGTGCACGGTTCGATACCGGCCCAGCCTCCCTGTGTGGAGTTTGCATGTTCTCCCTGGGCCTGTGTGGATTTTCTCCCGGTACTCCGGTTTTCTCCCACATTCCAAAAAGACGCATGGCAGGTGAATGGATCATTCTAAATTGTCCTGAGGTGGAAGTGTGAGAGCGGATGGTTGTTTGTCTATGTGTGCTCTGCGAAGGGCTCGCAACCAGGTCAGGGTGTAGTTGGGATAGGCTCCAGCATGCCGGCGACCCTCATGAGCAGATTAGAAAATGGATGGATGTTTGTCTTCTTGGTCAGCAGTAACAGCTTGTACCAATGTCTTTCATGGCTTCTGGCATAGCTCCACATGTCGTGCATACCCCCTTTTTGCAGCCCTGTCACTGTAAGGAGGCCACATATAGGGCACCAAACTATTTACCAAGTGGGCATTTTCGAGCAAGGTCCATGTGACAATGATCACATGAAATCGGTGCACTTTTCAATCTGAAACGCTCCCACATTTTGGTCACTTTCTTCCTTTTTTTGTGTGTCAGTTTTCTTACTCAGATCAACTTGTTTGTAAGAGGCAAATATATTTTTTTGATGCCGTGTGCTGAGAGGTTGAGAACAGTGCGCGATTGCTTAAGCGCGCAGCTTAAAGGGAAAATTGATGTGGACTGACCAACAGATGTGTAAAAATGTGTAAGTGTATGATCCCAGGAAACGTTCTTTTATTTTATTTTTTTGCCATAATTGCACATCCTCTACAGCAGGTGGCATTAGCACTCGTCAGAGTGTTTTGAACACCAGAAGCTGTGAGTTTTTGAGATGACACCACAGATCAGTTTTGGAGCTTTCTTAAATAAATCCCTGGGGGGGGGAATATGTTGCCGTGGTTCATGCTCCCTGGTTCATGTTCCCCCATGTCGCTGCTCTTCCGCCCCCCCCCCACCCCCCAAATAACATCTCAATTAATCGAAATCTCTTTCTGCCCTCGATTTACATGTGTTGCCTTATCATCCACAGAGATTGAACAAAAAGTAACGAATCTTAACAGTTTGGATCACAAAGAAATAACACGTTTCAATCACCATAACCTTTTATTAAAATGATGAGGATTATGAACGTCATTACATCAAAACAATTCATCAATTTCTAGTGGTATGAAGTGGTCATCGTAATTTGACTATCTTTCTTTTCTAGTAAATAATTTGTCCCTAATCTCCAGAACCACACCAGGGGTGTCTTCCATTTGGTGCCATCACACCATGTTTAATTTGAAGAGCCAATTCGACTATGGATCACCTGAGAACACAAAACTTGGTATTAGTGCCCGACTGTCATTACTTCTACATTTTTAAAACAACAAAACAGGGTTCCATTTTTTCACATTACGACTAATTTGAGAAAATCGAGAGCATTTCTCATACAGGTACCTAAACGATCCACTCCAATGAGATCAAGCCCCCGTCCAGGTTTTCAGCGGTTTCCTTTAAGGCTCTGCGCCTTCTGCCTTGAGCGCAGGTCTGCTCGGACAGAACAAAAGAAAACGCTGCATATTATTTTCCGCCAGAGCAGTGGGCAGACCCGCGTGTAGCGCTCGCAACTCACCGGCGCACACTGCGGCGACGCGCACAAGTTCACGTTGCAGTGCAGGTAGAAGCTTGTGCTGTCCACAAACTGGAACATTCGGAACGAGAAGTAGTTGTCCTTCCCCAAGCCATTGCCCACGACCTCCACCGTGCCGTCTTCAATGTTCGGACAGCTGCTCAGAAACGAGAAAAGACGTCTGACGAGGTCTTGGCAAGCCATAATGTGGAGCCAACGGCTGGTTACCCGTCAACGATGAGGTCGTATCTCAAAGTGTCGTTGGGCATTGGTTGTTGCGTCACCCAGCAGGACTCTGTTACTATCTTGACCGTGTTTCCGTCCAGCTCGTCCGCGCTGAGCTCGATCCAAACCTGCTGATTAAGGTCTAGCTCTGCGTTCGGCTCCAGCAGCTGCGTGCGCCCACTGTCTGAGTAGGCTTGCATGAGCAGGGTGTAGTTCTGGGTCTGCGATATCATTTGACGCACAACGATGCTGCGAAACAGGCAAGTAGTGAGCAGGTGTTTGACGGTCACCCGGTCCAAGCTGCAACATAATGCTCCACTTACCTGCCTCTGACCTGCAGGGTCAAGGTTCTAACTTCCGGCTGCCTGTACACGCACGTAAAATCGATCTCCACAAATTTGTTGCGCGTGATCAAGGAATTGTTTGGAGCTTGGCCTGTTGCAACGCTGTTCTTCAAAACCACAAAGCTGTCGTTCCCCTGTCAAGGGCAGAAAGGTTTGTCTGTGTACAGTAAATGTCATGTACTCTGTCCGAGCAAAAGACTGTTGCAGTGCTCATTGTTCTCTCGTCCCTCTCCTGGTCAGTCAACCTCTCTTGCCAAATGGTTGCCCATGTGAGGTTCAGTTGCTTTTCTTTCATGGATAAGGAGTATGTTTCTTGACCTGCTCAGTGGGTAACCTCTGTTAGAATTTGAAATGAAAATGACTGGACTTGGCTGTGTGGAAACTTATTTCATATAGAATTGGGCTCCAGGTGTCTGAAGGATAAACCGGAGTTTAACCCAAAGAGGCTAAACGTAAGGCTAAAACACATCGCAAATATTCGTTGCAATCATTCACACAGTTACATTGTTAATGAAAGAAAGCACGGAACACAGCTAACATTTAGCTCTGTTCTTTATCCTCATAAAAATTGAATGGAAACAAGATAGTTGGTGTGTTTTACTGTCTTCCGTCCTGATCTTGGAAGTGATATTGTGTTTGAATGGACTTGGCTAGTACAGAGTTTGATAACTGCACTGTGTCTGATGTTGGTAAACTGCAAATCAAGTGAAGCGCCTGCCTGCAAATGTCTCGCCTGGTAATTGAGCTGAGGGACAGTCCCTCCTTTGTGTACTGAAATTCCAAAGTTGCACGATTGCACCTGTGGTATCTGATCAATACTGAATGTATGCTGTTGATTAATTACAATTCATCTTTTATTGACCTGTGAGCGAAGCTCTGGTTCTGTCCCAGCTCAACCCGTTGTGGCACCCACCATGACAGGTCAGGTTCAGGTTCCTCTCAAAATTGCTTTCTGCCCAGTGCAGCTCAGCCCATATGCTTACTCTGCGCAGATTTGCAAACTTCGTGACTCTACTGTCTTTTAAAATGAGCAGGAAAATTTGTTTTGGACTATTTCCAAGTATAGAGACAATGTTTTAGGAACAGACCCTATCCCTTGTGAAACATGTGCTACTTAGACGCTTTAAAAAGCAGGTGCTGGTGCATGGCCAACTCTCAGGGTCTACAAAACTGGATTCTGATTCTTGTCAGCTGTCAGTAAAGTTCTTTGCTCACCAAGCGTGTATCAACAAAGTCTCCTTTTGCCCTTGTGTTTAACCCGGGCAAGGTGATAACCTTGACGAACCACACACCTTTTTCGATGGCGTACCGGTGTCACAGTCATGTTTTTTTCCACCATGTGTTGTTAACTCACCTGGGTTTCTGTCCCACATGTGTTGCTTGAGTCAAAGGTGAAGGTCACCAAGTGGGTCTCACTGTCCCTCTGACCTATACAGTTCTCATCTTTGAGATGCAACGTGGTGTAGTCGATCCCGTCCTCCTCCAGCAGGCAACCAATCAGGGAGATGGATCCTCTGTCCTCTTGGCAGACGGGCGGGTCACCTGAACAAACGAGAGTGTCAGCCAATGCAGGTAACAGAGGGAACCAGTATTTGTTGTTACCCAAAGTGTTTTTCAACTTGTACTGTGAGGCAAATATGGCTCGGCAGAGGCAGGTGTTTTTTTTGAACCGGGAGTCTCCACAGAACTCGTTAGCGCTGCAAGTGTGGTCCTGACAGTACGTCTGATTGCTAGAAGCTGTGGATGGACACACAAGTTTCCATTAGTATCCTTGAAAATTCTGTTCTATTCCATTGAAGTGCTTAATATCGTTCACATTTCTTTCATGGTGAACACTGAACAGTTCCTTCGACCTGGAGCAGCATCTTTAACATCATAGCTCAAAAGAACTGCTCAGATTCTCTTTCCTGATCGCCTCATCCATAATGCCACTTGTTGTTAGGCAAAGCTTGTGGGGACACAATTAACGGTGTCCAAAAGCGGCCATTGTACAAAAGGAACCATGGGCACTCGACTGTGAATGGCGTGAAAGTCACACACACACAAACCAAAAGGATGAGTTTTTTTTTAATATACAGTACTGGTAAAATTTCACCCTAGAAAGCTAGCTCGCTAGCTCGCTAGCTCGCTCAATAGATAGATATTACAGCAAGCGGTTATTCTTGATACTTGGTAGATAGATAAATTGGATTTTATTTTCTTTTTAACCCTTTGACAGAGGTGATTCAACCGATCTTCGCAGACTGTGCTTAACACCAAGTGTCAGTATGTGTGAGGCGAGCAGGAACAATAATCTGAGCAATTCTTTTGAGTTTCTGTTTATGGCTGTGATCTGCATTCTTCCATCCATTTCCTAGAGCACTGATCCGATTCGGGTTGCAGTTTTGCTGGAGTTTATCCCAGCTGACTTTGGATGAGAGGCAGAGTACACCTTGCACTGGTCACCATATTAACAAACACAGCTAAGGACAAACCCACACAAGCACAGGGAGAAAGCAAACTCAACACAGGAAGGCCTGAGCCCAGATTCAGACCCACAACCTCAGAACTATGAGGCGGATGCGATATTCACTTTTCCACCGTGCTGCCTTATTTTACTTTTCAAG